CTTTATATATAAATATGAAAATATATAAAAATATTTTTTAATAAGAGGATACGATAATAGATGGCACAGTTTTAAAAGTTGGCCGAAAAATTAAGCAACTCATTGCTGTATTATTTTCCGATGACTATCGAGGTGTTTCGGATTTCGATTGTCGCCCATCAGGTGCCCAGTGTTGTAGTTTGCACCTGACTAATCAAGTAACAATACGTTTTAATAGTGTATACATAATTAAATTAAATAATGTATTTACGTCTATATTTATAGGTTAATTTTAATATTTTGTGTATGATTTAAATAACATTTTTATTTTAAAAATATTAATCATTCACCATTAGTATTATAAATAAAAATGTTACAAACTGCTTACACGTCCAGAAAATAAGATCATATTAGTTGTGCGATCTGGTATGAAAAACAGAAAAGGATGATTAGCATTAAATATTGGTGTTATATGAACATTTATATCAACTCTCGGATAGAATATTATTCCAGTGACTGCGGCAGCTTCGCTTCCTTCTTCGTTTACTTCGATTACAGCTTTGTGAAATATTTGTGAAATGTAAAGTTCTTTTCTTCCTGTTATTCCTGAAAAGTCTGCGTTATCGTTAAACGCATTTTGCATTCCTAAAGTTTGTAAATTTCCCTTCAGCTCTCTTGAATACTGAAGCTTAAATTTTGGAATTCTTACGTCTACTTTTTGTATGAATATTATTTAATAGTATTATATTATTTTATTATTTAATAATAATTATTGTTCGTTTCGATCAGTTTTGAGAAATTCGGGAAAAAATACAAATGGCTTAAACATTTAAAAACATGAATTCTTCTCGCCTATTTCGAACTTCAAAATCAGAGGTAAATACATTCACATCCGTTGATTACAGATACTGAAAACGGTTCCAAAACATTGCTACGTTGGAGCATCTGTCATGAATGTAACACATGGGCGATCAGCAAATGAGAATGCCTCCCAGGCAGATTTTCTATGGAAAAATGACCCCAATTTGGTTTCAAACATGTAAAGAAAACCCACAAAACTCCTTGCTCCATTCCGTTCGTTAGGCGCGAACATTCCTCCAGCTATTTGTGTGCATTATGTGCTTGTTTTTTACTTTTGCCGCCCTGTGGACACTAAAGGGATAATTTCAAGCAACCGTCTGTTCAGGGCGACCGAGTGGACAACGACACTCAAAGAAATTATGGAGTAGCCTTACTTGAGATCCGAATCTTCGCATGAACAATCTTACTAGAAGACAGAAAATAATGCTAATTATTTATTAAATATTCAATAGTCAAACAAAATTTACTTAAAAATTACAAATTTTTAATGAAGGAAGTATGTTCTACACAGGGTATGATCCAAAATCTTCTCATTCGGTTTTATCTAACTATTAACGTCAGATATTCTTGTGCCGGTTCTACACTTCATATTGTGCTGCAATTTAAATACTGCAGTTCTATATATAAATTTCTACTGAAGTCTGACTGTCTGTCCTTCATTACTCTCGAGAACGGAGTTAGATACATGAAAATCTAGACCGGACATGGAAAGCTTGGGAATGTTGTGTGGCTATCACGTTCCTTTATCCGTTTGTGCTTGGTGGGCTGGATGAAATGCGATTAGGCATTGATTTAATTAAACTTGTAAGATTTCTTGGATCCATAAGATTAGTCATTAAATGTGAACAATGAATACTGTACTAGCATTGTCCTGTTGGAAAATCCAATCAGGTCCTCCAATTTTTTCTCGAATAGGTATTAAATTATTTTTTAGGACTTCTCGATAACTTTTAGATATCTGTTTACCAGTTAAAATCACTAAATTTGATAAACCATTAAATGCAAAGCAGCCCCACGCCATTACAGAATCACCACCCTTTTGCCTGCTGAAAAATTGCACTCTTCTTTCCTAATTTCATGCCAGTAATTAAACTATCCAAATTAAATATCTTTTCATAACCGAGAGCCATTGGTCATTCGTCATTCCACACAATGTTATCTTTAGCCCACTGCATTTTGTTAGTAGTGTTTTTTTTTTTAATCATAGCAGAAGTTTTATACAGTAGACTCCCTATAACGCGGGTTCATATAATTCGGATTCGTGTATCGCGGCGAAAAAATTGCGACCGTATTCGTATAAAGACACTAACAGAGACTCGTAAAATGCGGTAAAACGTCATCGCCGACTCCTGTCGCGACAGGATTGGTCGAACCTGACCAATAGTGTACAAGCAGCTGAACTATTTACACGCTACAGAGAGTTTAGGCAGGTAAGTTGAGTTTACTATCGTCTGTACAGTATATAAATTAGGTACTGTAAGTCTAATACAGTACTGTAATTTTATACATTTCTTGTGAAAAAAACATTTCTTATTCAACGGTCATAAAAATNACTCTAATAAAAACATTAAGAAACGAGGATATTGTGGAGAAGATAAACCGAGCGAATATCTTCATTAATATCATTTGTCTGCTCTTTTCTTTTGGTATTATTTTCGCCGTGTTTTGCTTTCAGATTTTCAATGTATTTTTTATCTACCCAGCGTTAGAAAAAAATGAAAAGTTTCGGGGAGAAGCTCTGATTTGTTCAGTGGAAAGTGGATTTTCTGCTTGTTTCGGATTTGGCGCTATGGGTTACGCTATACTGTTAGTAGGGGTTTTATTAGTTCTTACCGAAATAGAATTCAACCAATTGATACAAGATTTTTCTCTTGTGAGAAGAAGCGAGAGAAATTTCTATTTCAATCTGAGAAATTTGATGCTTCGTCACGAAGAACTGTGGAATTTCGTCAGTCAACTTAATACTAAATTTAGTTATCCTAGTGTGGTTATTTATCTCGGTCTTATATGTTCAACTAGTTTTTCTTATTATTCATACTTATTTATAGATGTAAATGATGCAATTAGATTAGGATTTTTAATAATAGTTGTCTTCTTCACCTTCACTTGTATTTTTGGAGCTTGTTTGTTGTGTAGTTTTGCTTTCTCGGTAAAAAATTTGTTTCTAAAAATATCTGTCATAACACGAGATGACGGTAATAAAAATCTTTTATTATTATTTTCAATACTTTTTTACTTTTCAGATGCAAAATGGCTTTCAAGATGTCCGACAATTTGCTGTCAGCAATTTACATCCGGAAGAAAAGTTAAAAGTCTGTATTTTCGTCTATTAATAAACCATTTTTAAAATTCGCATATAATTTGAATAATTAGTAAATTCTTTATTGTTTACTTTTATTTGTAGATCTTAAATTTCATGAAGAGATTTGGGAAAGTGTCGTTGTGTTTCATGATCGGTGGTATTTATCCAGTTACGAAAAGAATTCCTTTCAAAGTTTGTATTTGTTTATAGAAATAAGAAATATTCTTACAATGCAAAGTATTTTTAAGCACGATTTGAATAGTTTTATATATGTATAGTTAATGGATATTAAATTACAGATATATTATATGTCGATTTCACATACAGGCATTCCCACAAGAAACGTAAATAATCCGTTTAATTCGTACATTCTGTGAGAAAACGTTACTCGAGAGTCTATTTACTATAATTTTCAACGGAATAGATAATGCCTTGCAACGTCAACCCAAAAATGCAAAAAGTTTGCAAAATTGTAACCTGCAATGTCTTTTTTTTTTATAAAAACAAAGTATTATTTAAGCATGTAAAATGCTTAAAACAGTGCTTACTAATCATTAATTTATAAACTGTACTATATAATTAATATGGTTGTTAACAAAACAGTTGTTTTGTATACAATAATTTATATAATCTGACAATTTGCAAGTAAAATCCCTAAACATGTCGCATTGTAAACAGCATGCGCCCACTGCTGGAGAAAACCTCCGATCAGTAGTAGTTTTTCGTAGGTTCCTGCCTGACCAATAGGCTGACAATGCAGACTTTTCAAAGTTTTCTTTACGTTTTAAAAAAAACAGCCGGAATCCCGGGATTTCCTTAGAGAAACCCCAGTGGTCACACACCTGCACATAATCATGGCTCAAGTATTATCTACTTTAGCCAGTACTATAAGCAAGTGTATTGAGTGGTAAGAATAATATTCAAAATCTGAATGCAAAAGAAAGCGAAAGTAATACAGAAAGAAACAAGCAGACAAATAATATTAGTTAAGACATTCTCTCGGTTTATATTCTCCACAAGATCCTCGTTTTTTAATTTTTTTTAGAGTGGCTTTTCTACTTTTAAAGAAACTGAATATAAAAGCAAAGCAGGATTGTAAGCACGCGAGTGTTACTTTCAGCAGAAAAGTATTATTTTCAATTAAATAATAGGCCTACCATTTAATGCTAAGTTTTTCCCAAGAAGTGCAATCGTTAATCACTGCCAGTGCGATTCGAAACTACTAAATGATTGATTAAAATAATGGGACAATAAATACAAATTTAGAATATTTACAAAACTTTTCTAATAGGCAATACTTTAAAAGAAAGTGACTTCTCCCTTTCTTCCTTTTTCACTACATCAAGAAATGACAGTCTCATAGGGGGTAGACATTTCTTTACAGGCTTCTCGTCCCTATCAATATGTAAAATGTTTAAAAGCAAGAATTAGAAAGATACCTGTTTTAATGTATTGTTTATTTGAGAATTTTTGTAAATTTGCCAAGTTTCTACTAAATGTTATCAAGAATTAAGACACTACCTTGTTGAAATTAGATGAGGTTTTTTCATGACTCTCTCATCCTGCCAATTGCATTTGCAATAGAATTCCTACTTACCCCACGAATTGTTCTGTTATAAAATTGTATTGACAAAAATATAAATTAATTTAACGTGCTGACGGGGTGGAAAACATTGAAACAAGATATTTGTATTATTTTTTATTTGTTGTTTTGAAACCGAGTTGTACTAAAGTTTTGAGAGTGTTAAACATAAGATCGTGTTATTAAGCAATTACGTGGCTTCTTTTCCATTTTTATTTAATTGATACGGTATTTCTACACGTTTCGGGCTTTTGGCATTTCATCAGTCAACTAAAACAAGAAATAATATATACAGAATTTAAATATTATATTTTACAAGTATATTGCCCAAACAGTATAAAATACATGTATGTAACTTACACGTACCATTAACCACGATATGGCACTTGCAGACTATAAGTTTACCCATCACAAACACGAAGAATGAGGTGGTTACACGGACATTGTAAAATTCCGGTACATCTAGTTAAAATGGTGAAGCTATATGTAAAATATACACAAAACTATGGGTATTAACAAAATGAAGTCTTATTGTGAATTATATTTTTTTCTCCTATCAGAGGCGATGAATGTGCGTTGCTAAATTTATTCAGATACTTTTGTTGGTACATTTACAAACTTGGGAGCCTTTCATGAATTGTTTTGTTGTTTTTTTTGCACAAAATTCTTTAGTATAGTTTGTTTCACTTTTTGGTTGAACATGGACTTAGCACTATCGGGTAGTAATTCTAACAGTTTGCAACACTCAAAATTTATATAATCATGTAGAGTAGCTATAAAGCAGCCAAAACTGTGAGGTGACCAAAAGCCCGAAACGTGTAGAAATACCGTATCAATTAAATAAAAATGGAAAAAAGCCACGTGATTGATTAATAACAGGATCTTGTGTTTAACACTCTCAAAAAAGATACTTGTATGTTAAATGAAGTTTCGGTATTGGAAACTAAAACCCTATTTTACCGGTAAAACGTTCTGAGGGATATGCCTGTATTTTTATCTGAAGTTTATATAATTTATATAAAGTTTATGTGAATTCGAAATTGTTTCTTTGAGGAATCGACAAAAATAAGTACTTTCAAATCTCACCTAGTTGTATTTGTAATATTTATTATAACACGTAACATAATTATATGCCATACAAATGCTTTCTTTTTCAGGTTGCGAGTAATTTACATTCTTTCTTTTCGGCATTTATGAAACTTAAAGGAATATCGAAAGAAGAAAGGGTCTGCACTAACACAACAACATTGCATTGAGTCGCAAAAATTCGCACCTAAAGCATTCCGTTTATGTATCAATAGTTTGAAATTTGAATAAAGTTAAATTGAAATTTTTACAAAATGTTTCACAAGAATTGATTTCCAAATAATTCGGAAATATTTCGGAAAGAATTCCATCTTCTCTTGTAGCAGGTAGTTGGGCATGAGCTTCTAGGCTATGTCGCCCCGTAGTAAAGTGTCACGTAATTGTCATGTAATATTACAGTAGAGCCTCGATTATCCGACCCAATTGGGGACTGGGGTTGGTCGGATAATTAAAAAGTCGGATAACCGAAAAGTATAAAAAAATCCATTATTACTGTATTATTAAGTCCCATGTAATTAGTATATTAGTATATCGCTATTAACCTATTTCGCGTTGAAGTTTCATCGATGTTAAGCCTAACAAAAATTTTTTAAAATAATAATCGTCGCTATTGTATCGTTAAAAATTAGAAAATTAAGCCTGGTTTAAATACTGGCTCCCTTTCACGGTCGAATGAGTGTTGCCAGCTAAAACACGTAAAAATAATATTAAAGTAGCCAAGACATAGCCAAATATTGTAGCGCCACATCACTAGCGGACATTTGAAATTTGCCGA